CTCTACAGCCCGCCGCCCTCCCAATGGGCCACAGAGCCAGCTGGGCCTCTCACCAGGGACATCCATCGCCCATCCCCTTGCACATCAGTGACCGGGGTCGGGGTGCTGGCTGGGTTCTTGTCGCCGTCACTCATGGTCCCTTGTGGCTCCTGGGAAGGCGAGAGCAGGAATGAGACCTCACACAATGAAAGCCCCCAACCCTTGTCCCCGCCCCACCTGCCCTGCACAGGGGACTGCACTACCTAGCCAGGGAAGGGAGGGGACTGTGCACACAGCACCCAGTCCAGGAAGGCTGATTGCACGCCTGCAAACCTTTCCCTCTGACCCTCCCGTCGGCGTGAGTGGTTCAGTCCTTTCTCATCGGCTTCAACTATGACTCGACAGTCCCGTTTCTCAAAAAAAGGGGGATTGGTCTTATGCCATTGGTCTTTCTTGTTCGGGATCCTCCCGCTTCAAAGCAGACAGTATTAGGCAGCGTGATGGTAAAATTATATTTTGTGGGAGTGGTGGTGAGGGAAATACCTAGTGAGCAGGACAGAAGACTAATTTTCCTGCAGGCTCCCCTTTTGATACAATAGCTCTGTCCACTGCTTCCCCCTCCGTGTAGCGCATAGTGGTACAATCCTCAAGATAGAAAGATGCCCCCTCAAAGCGAGTGGGAAATACCAATAAGCACAATGGGGGGAGGCAAAGCGGTTTGCCCACAGAACCTCCCCCAAGGTTATGTAATAACTCAAGGTTCCTGCTTGTCTTTTAAAGCACTCTTACCGACGAGCTGGAATTAGGTTTCCTCAGGCGAAGGGGAAAGCGAGTTTGCCCGATTTCCCCCCCTCTTGTGCGCAGTGGTTCGCTCTGACCTTATCCGCTCTACGCTTGATACAGGCAGTACCATTTGAAACGGAGGGGGGAAATACTCACGGCTTGATCGGAAAGAAGCCAGTTGGTCCAACCCTTCAGCGGCGGGAGGAGCCCCTTTCGCCGCCGACTGACTTTGACGCTCAAGCCGCCTTAGCTCCGCGCTTGGAAGCGGTTGCTTGTGCGGCCTCGGCGGAACCATCTGACTCCGTCATTTGAGGGGAGGAGGATGCATTCCTTCGCCACTCCCCCATCTCGTGTAGGAAATGCTACCGCTGTTCCATTCATCCTCCGGCTGTTCCTGGTACCCTCCCTTCCCCGGTCGGGCTGTGCTCTGCATCTCCCCTCGGCTGCTGCTTCCTCGGTGCCGCGTTATGCATGCATAGCCAATAGGCGTCAGCAGTTGGTGCAGGCAGGATTTTTAGAATCGGAGACTTGGAAGGGACCCTGAGGATCATCTAGTCCAGGATCAAACCTGCAAGCTTGGCAGTATCAGCATCATGCTCTTGTTGTTGTTTAGTCGTGTCCGACTCTTCGTGACCCCATGGACCAGAGCACGCCAGGCACTCCTGTCTTCCACTGCCTCCCGCGGTTTGGTCAAACTCATGCTGGTAGCTTCAAGAACACTGTCCAGCCATCTCATCCTCTGTCGTCCCCTTCTCCTTGTGCCCTCCATCTTTCCCAACATCAGGGTCTTTCCCAAGGAGTCTTCTCTTCTCATGAGGTGGCCAAAGCATTGGAGCCTCAGCTTCATGATCTGTCCTTCCAGTGAGCACTCAGGGCTGATTTCCTTAAGAATGGATGCGTTTGATCTTCTTGCAGTCCATGGGACTCTCAAGAGTCTTCTCCAGCACCATAATTCAAAAGCATCAATTCTTCAGCGATCAGCCTTCTTTATGGTCCAGCTCTCACTTCCATACATCACTACTGGGAAAACCATGGCTTTAACTATACGGACCTTTGTTGGCATCATGCTCTAACCCAGTACAGTGGTACATTGGGTTACATACGCTTCAGGTTACAGACTCCGCTAACCCAGAAATAGTGCTTCAGGTTAAGAACTTTGCTTCAGGATAAGAACAGAAATTGGGCTCCGGCGGTGCAGCAGCAGGAGGCCCCATTAGCTAAGGTGGTGCTTGAGGTTAAGAACAGTTTCAGGTTAAGTTTCGGACCTCCGGAACGAATTAAGTACTTAACCTGAGGTACCACTGTAGTTTTCAACCAGTGTGCTGCCGCCGCACCCCAAGGTGCCTTGAATAATGGTCAGGGGTGCCACGGGCTCCTCAGGGCAAATGGTGCCTCTGGGGCTGGCCAGGGGGTGCTTCCCAGGCCCCTGTGGGGCAGTGGAAGGAGGCACCTCTCTTTGGGGTAGAGCAGGGGGTGGGCAGCTCAAAGATGGGGGGGGGAGAGAGAGAGCAACTGCTGCCCAGAGGACTCCCAAGGAGAGAGGAGAGGAGGCTGAGAGAACACTCCACAGGGGGCTTTGAAAAGGGGTGAGGGGCTGCCAGTTCTGCAGGGCAAGGGGTGACATAAAGGGGCTCCTGAGCCCCACAGGTGTGCCGCAGAAGGGAGCCGTGGACTCAAAAAGGTTGAAAACCTCTGGTCTAACCAACTGAACTATCTGAAACTCAGTATCAGATCCAGCAACATTTGTGCTCAAAATTGGTTTTTTTGTGTGTGATAGTAGTTGGAAGCAATATTTGTATAATGTTTTCCTATTTGGTAGTGTACATAATTAGATTTATATAATTCTCACCACACCCTGCAGGCACCATGAGAATAAGGCTACTGCCTCTGTATCCCACACTGCCTTAGCTCCTGCACGTCTGGCAGAAATTCACGTATTGAAATAAAGGCACTGCAGCCCTGCCAGGTAAAAATAAAATTGGCAACACTTTCTATTTTGGGGCGAATGGGAGAGAGCAAGCTAATAGAAAGCCAGGGGATATTTGGTTCTCCATATTTTGTTGGCCTGTAACTCCCTGAGTTATAGTAGCTGGGACTGGCTGGATTTGGGAGTCCAACATTTGAAGAGCCAGAGGTTCTGCATTCCTGGCTTAATGCATTCCCACAACCATTTGGAAGCCCACTGTATTCTTTTACCATTCAGAAGTTAGCACAGGTCATTCATTTTAGAATCACAGGATGGTGGTGGTGGAAAATAATAACTTAGCAGACTGTTGATAATGTGTTAAATACTTTGACAGTCATCCCTACAACAACCTTGTAAGGTGGATCAGTATTATCACCTGATTGCAGAATGAGGTGCTGAGGCTGAAAAAATACTCCAAGCCTGCACAATGTGTGACACATTAACCTGAATGCAGCCAATTGGCCACAGATTGTCCACCATGTTAATGAACCTCCTATTTTTGCTGCAAGCACCTGCATGGTCATATTATACAGCTGATAAAGCGCTGCATTTAGCTCCAGGATTCACAAAGTTGTGCTGGCCTGAAATAGTGGCCTTGCTGATGCAAGTTTTAAACCAAGGACTTTCCAGCGCTTGTATATTGAGGCCTAGTCCACCCCATGGTGGTACAGCCACTCCTGGAGTGGCACTTGAATATTCACATTCACGTGTGAAGAAACATTGTGTGTTATTACAGTAGTTCGAAAGCACGCCAGTGCAAGTAGATAAATAGGTACCACTGTGGCGGGTGTGGTAGGAAGGTAAACGGTGTTTCCATGCGCTCTGGTTTCCGTCACAGTGTTCCGTTGCACCAGAAGTGGTTTAGTCATGCTGGCCACATGACCCGGAAAGCGGTCTGTGGACAAATGCTGGATCCCTCGGCCTGAAAGCAAGATGAGCGCTGCAACCCCATAGTCGCCTTTGACTGGACTTAACCATCCAGGGGTCCTTTAACTTTTTACCTATATCCAAATAGGAACTGACCAGTGGAAAGCTGTTGCATTCTCTCTCTCAGCCACACAGGGGACCCATTTTCCTGAGAATCTCAACAGAACAGCAATAGAAAGGAATAGTGCTGCAGATCAACCCTGAAGGCATGGCACTGTAGGCATGCCTGTACCACACACTAGGTGGACAGTCCCACAGCCTTCTGAGGGGTCTAGAGAACAGTAGCACATAATTCTCAGCCTCTTCTCATAACTATAGTCTGCAAGGTTCAAGCTTCAAGAGGTAAAACACTGACATTGTTTGTAGAGAAGGCATGTCCTGAGGATGTTCTCACATGTAGAACTTAAATTAGTGTTGCTGTCCCTGTATCTGAAATTCAAAGGTCTCTAAGCTATTTTAGATAGAATTTTTCTGCTTATTTTGCATTAATAACCAAGGCTTGTATTTTAATTGTTTTAAGTTGCTCTGTGCAATATGAATGCATTGGAAGGCCTGGATGCCCATCTTTCTAATAAACAAATAAATGGGGTGGTTTTGAGTTACTGGTACTTGTTTCTGGAATTATTGCTTATGGTAAACTGTGATGTGGGCTCTGTTGGTTTGGAGAGCTGATAATGAAAGCCTGTTCTAGAAGTGTGAACCTACAGAACACAGCTCCACCTCCTCTTGCTAATACATCCATCCTTCTCCCCTTTCCGGCAGAAAGGTGGAACAACAGAACAGTCCAGTTTGGGGTGAGGGAGATCATAGTATGATCTACTGCTGCAGAACAAACCTCACTTTAACATCTGCTTGATATTTGCGGCAGAGGCTCTCTGTGACTGTATATGTATATGGGAATCTGGTACACGTCACATCTGGTACAAGTTTGAGAACTTTTTTGTTTAAAAATACTTACAGTTCTTGTGGGTATAAATTTGAAAATGTATAGAAGTGTTTGTAAAAGAATTCAGCATGCAAAGGAGAAATTATCTGTGACACATGGTTTTCTCATCTTACCTTGTGGTTTTCACTCATGGTGTTCTTGCATACCCTCAAAAACCAACATGCTACATAAGCTTACAAATACAACCCTATTAATATATTCTGAGTGCAGAATTTCAGTATAGCTCTAATTTAGAAAACTTGATTCCTTCTTGAAATAGCACTAGATAAAGCAAAGTGAAAAATCTTTCAAACTTCAGCCTGGGGATAAAAACCAAAACAACTGCTGTTGTGTCTCAACATTTTGTTGGCAGCAGTCGTGTAGGGAACGTAACACATGTCTTGTTCATTAATCATTTCAGTGTGATTTATTTTTAAATGGTAGAAATCCATTACAATATCCCGTTTCTTCAAGAAGGAACATTAACTGCTTACACTATTTGTTAGAAAGCTACTCCAACTTGCTATTTAAAAATCTAACAGTTTCTCAAAACCCTTTCAAAAACTCTGCCTGTTGCCTGGCACTGAACTAGTTAAAAATGAATTGAATGTGTTAAGTGATGCTGACTTTGTCTTGCCACAATAAAGTGGTTGCAATAACTCAGCTGGGGATCTGAAGGAAAGAAATGCAGAGGCTGTGCCCCAGACCATGCCCTGTTAAAAGATCAGGAGAGAAGGGCTTTACCCAACTGAAGCCCTTCTTTTCACAAAGTATTATATATGCACGCACCCTCCCACTGTCAGAAGCCTAGGTGGGGAGCGAGATGGAGCCCATCTGGCCAATGCTTAGGGAAACAGAGGGGGAGGTGTTGGCCTGGTGGAGGTGGCTCGGCTGTTGTTGGCTTGGTGAGGCTTGCTGAACAGACTGGCTGCATGCTTGCTTAGATGCGAGGAAGTCAGGCGCTGCTTCTGTAGAACCTACACAGAACAGAGAAACCCTGTTAGATCTCTAACAGTGCAGCTCAATGGCTTCTTCCCCTATTCCTACCTATACAACAATCACACTGATCTTGTGACAGCCATTCAGACAGGCCTCCCGCAGGGTGTCAGCCTGCTATTTGTAAATACCATGTGGCTGACCTGGGTTTGTTCCAGGTCAGCTAGAAGGTAACATGATTGGAATTGCATTGCCTTCTGCCTGATCCGGTGTGAACCCAGGTCAGCTACAAGCAGTAAGTTGACACACTGCAGGAGCCCTGTATGAATAGCTCTTAAGTGGCAACACCGTAATTGCCCCTTTTGAATTCTTTCTCTCAGACACTCTGGGTACTCTGCACATCATTATGACCATGATCCTTAAATCCCATGATTCTCAAGTTGACTGCAATGCGACTAATCTGGAATAAGTGATTTGAATATTTCTGTCTGTGTTCTGAGAAGCCCAGCTGTATGACCTCCTGTGTAACCTTTTGATACAAAGGTGATGGTGTTTAAACAAAGGAATTCCAGCAAAGCTATATGAGATGTCTAGAGCAGGTTTCTTATTTGCACCATGGACACTGCCACTTGGTACTTCCTTGTATACGGGAAGATCAGCAGAAGATTCTCAGTTTAGGATAAAAGCAATATGGGTGTAGGTATGTTTTGGTCACTGAAATCAGGTTTCCTGATAAAGGAGAAACCTGCTGAAGCTAGTTTGCATGCATTCTTAACAATTTCTCTGCAAGGACTGTTCTTGCTAACGGTAGGAATTTTCCTATACATCAACAGATCAAATCCTTTTTTAAAAAACAACCCAAGAACCCAGCATTAATATCTACAAAGAGAAGTAAAGATCCCCTCATTCCAGATTCCATGTCTGTCTGTACATGTGCTTAACATTTTGTGCAAATTCCTATGAAAGCAAATTGCTACAGGTAGCAGTGCTGCATCACGGAAGGGCATTTCCAAAATTTAAAATACTTCAGTTTTGTATAGTGAGTTTTTCTAAAAGCTCAAATGCACATATTTGCATACATTATTTCAATAACCCTTACAACAGCCCTGAAAGGTTTACCAATATTATTATCATACTGTTATCCTCCAGCAAAAAATTATCTAATTTTTTTTTTAAGTCCAGTGGCTTTCACAACATTCTGCAGCCAATTCAATGTTGATTGTGTAGTGTGAAGTATTTTTGTTGTTAGTCCTGATCCTACTGCCAATCACTTTCATTAAGTTCTAGTGTGTTGTGTGAGAAAAATAAAATCAAATCTCTATATTCCTTTATATAGCCCCCAGTTACATTTTGGGTACAGGGGTGCTTTCTGCACATGTCATTGCTCTTTTGGAGACACTGTTTTCAAAAACAGTTGATAACACATATTAGTCCTTCTGGCATCGATTGCAGCTCCATTGTCTATAGTGTACCTTCTGGATCCTTGCTCCCTGGCGCACTGTGGCTTCTGCCATGTTCTTCTCCTTCCTGTCTCTTGCTGGAATGCTTTCCTTCTTGGCTCTGCTGCTGATGGGATTGTTGTGCTTCCTGCCCTGGGGGGGAAACTGGCTCTGGGAAACCTTCCTGAGCTATAATGTAGGGGGTAGGATTCAACAGTGACAGCCTGGGAAGCATGTGCAGTTCCATCCCAAATGGAGTGCATGGGATGCCAGTTTGTAGGGGCACTGAAGTGACAGACACATCCATTGGTGGGACACAGAAGGGCAGAATTTGAGGGCCATTGTGAGTGGAGCTGGATGGAGCAAGGACTTCAACATTTGTCTCTGAAATCCAACCACTGTCCACAGTTTGTGGCATGCAGATGGTATGTGGCATGGAGCCTGAGGCTGTGTGGTAGGTTGCCACATTTGGGGCAAAATGGTGGTGGCTGACACTGGAAGTCCCTCTGAGGCTGGGTTTGACAGCTTGGATGCTGGAAACCATTACAGAAGTAGCCACTTGGGGTGCCCGGGGTGGAGCAATTGAGAAGAGATGGACATTTTTGTACTGCTGGGGAAGAGCACTTCCATGGAGTAAAGGAAGGAAAAGAGGCCCTGGGGCCTGTTCTCCATGAGCACTAACTGACTCTGGTGACAGCTGGGTTCCTTTCAAAGCTATGTCCTTGGAAGCCTTTACAGGCTGAATGTCACATGGAGGCATGTAGTATGAGGGATGCTGCTGGAAGGGACTGGCCACCCCAGGATTGTGAAATGTTGCTGAGGGGCGTGTGAAAGCTGATGAGGCCAGCAGAGCAGGTGCAGAGCTGGTAGGGGGCAGAAGACTGGAAGTGGCCAAAATGGGACCTGGCTGGGGAGCATTTCTCAGCACCATCAGGGCTTCAGCAGCCTCTTTCTGCAGCTGTTGTTCAGAAAGGGGGGAGAAGATAAACCCCCTGGTGGGCCAGACCGAAACATGAGCAGAAGAGGTTGGCTGAAGAGAGAGGGGGAAAGACTATTAACCTCATGATTAACAAACAGACATGAACTAGATTAATGAACATCTCATGTACAGATTCTGCTTGTTCTTTTTGCAGAGTTTGGGAAACAGAATAAGAGCAGGGTAAATCTTGCATCCTTCTTTGCTGGTGGGAAAGAACAAAGAGATCTGCAACACCTTAAAAGACTTAACCATTGTATTATAGTAGAAGCTTTTGTGGGTTACAGTCCACTTTATCAGAAGCATGAAGTGTTACCCTGATGAGAAGGTGCTAGCTGAAGCTTCACCCATGCAGGTAACCAGCTCATAGCTCTGGAATCCTTTTCCTCGCCAGAGTTAAGAAGAAAAAAGGAAAGAGGTAGCAGCAATAAGAATGACACACAACCAACCTCTGCTGCAGGACAGGTCCTCAATTTTAATCTAGCCCCAGGTTGGCTTGTGGTATGGACACTTGCAACATGGAATATTTTAATAAAGGTTTCCGATTAGAATAGGATGGAGATGCAACTCTGGCTGCTTTCCACGTATACAGAGTGAAATATAGACCAATTATTAGTCATTTTACCAATTGCCTGTGCCAAATAACAATTCTTTGATTGAATGGATATCATTTAGCCTTGCCAATCATTGCTCGTGTTCTCCCCAGCTGTGCATTCTGCTTAGTCCAATTTAAAGGGCTGGAAAGGAATAGGAGTTGTTTCACTTTCCAAGGGATAATGTTTACTGTTTCCAACGCAGTTCCTCTTTTGCAGCCAGAGCTATGGCATTTCATAACATTAGACCAAAGAGCATGACTGGCTGACTGTCCCACTTTCACCCTCTCCCACTAAACCACTGGACCAGCCCATGAAAGCCCTCTACCAATATAAGGCCCTGGCAAGTTGGGGCCTTCTTATGGCAGAGAAGCAATCACCTACAAAATGGATCATGGGACTTTTATAGGGGAAGCATCAGTTCTACTATTAGTAAAGAGGTTGCCCATTCCAAGACCTTGAACTGCTCTCCATTTCTCTGTGACAAGCTAACACACCTGTGAGTCACCAACTGGAGAGACATCAGAAGAGAATCCTTAACATACATTGGCATGTGTGTATTCACCCTCCCACAAAAGAGGGCAGACTAAATAATTCCGACTGCCAGCTCTGCTACCTCCTGCAAGATCACTGAAATGTGTGTTCCCATCTTTCAGGAAGGAGGTAGAAGGTATTAATTCCAGCTCACGGGCAATTTTTGTGCAAGACACAAGGACCAAAATACCTGACCTCCCAAAGGTGCAGCCTTTGGACGTCTGCTGAAATCCATGTTGCCACTCAGGGGATTCAGGGCCATGCGGCTGGAAGAGGGTGGATGGGAGGGGGAAGAGAGAGAAAGACAGAGAGCACATTCAATCCTGTTTATAAAGTTCCTTACTGGCAGCTTGTCTCCCACTCGCCTTCTGTCCTTGCTAAACCACAAACTGTTGAGGGGGAAGAGGGGCTTCTGCATCTGTCATTCTCCCAAGTTCACTTTACATTTCCACCCACAACTTGCTGTTTGCAGTAAATGTTTGTTAGTATAGACAGCTGTTGCTGTACCAGTGCCAGAGAATAAAAGATAAATAATAGATTAGGTAGTGTCTTTCACTGGAGCAATTTCTGTTTATTCATTATACAGGACCTGAAGTTACATGGAACTGTTAAAATTGTTCTTTAAATAATTTGTGCAAATACATCATTCTACCAGTAAAGGCATATACCACCTTCTGGTTCCACTCATAACAAGACAATTATTCTAGCACTGTCTTTGCTATGTCTGCTTCATATCTGTGACTTTGTGCTTCCACTAGATTCTTCTGGATCAGGGGTAGGAATGTTTTTCAGCCTGAGGGCCACCTTCCCTTGTGAGTAACCATCTGGGGGCCGCATGTATGCCCAAAAGTGGGTGGAGCAATGGATGTGATGCTTTCTTTGTTGTAGGCCACGCAAAAGTCAGAGGTTTTCCCTCTCCACCCTCCATCCGGGCAAGGAAAGAACATCACCACACTTCAAGAACATATTCCAACCAGGCAAAAAAATCTTGGTTGCAGAACAGGGCTAATGCGGTGTGTTGCCTGGGGAGAGTTCTGAGGGCCACATTCAGCCCCTGAGTCTGAAGTTCCCCACTCCTGCTCTAGATTAAGACTTCTGTGTAACTGGAAAGTGTGAATATTTGCTTTAGCAACAGAAGTTGGCCAAAAGGGTCATCAGCTTATCTGCTTTGTATCTCATAAATTTCTATAGCAAACTCTACCTTTTATACTTCCCTTTGACTTCACTGTAATTACTTGAGTAACTTTACCTTCTACTTACAATGTAATTTACACAGAGAAGTAGCTCATTTAATAAATAACCCATCTTAAATCTTGGGCCTTGTGTCTAGCGGAGACTTATTCCTCAACAGCCCTGACATTAGCTGGATTAGCCCTTTCTTGGGATTAGTGAGCTAATATACACCCTGATACTGTAAACATTGTGGCAGAAGTCAGTCCTATTGACATTAATTGAACATTTATGCTAAGTGCACTTAGGATCGTAGCCAAAAGGCATGTTCATTCCCACATGTGGGAGGCACTACCTGATGGCTAAATCAACCATGTGATTAATACCCAGAGGTACTATTACCAACTGTTTGCTCTCTGTCTTGTCCTGGCAGGGAGACAGAACATTACAGCTGCCAGACTTTCCTTAGGGTGTTTACAAAACTGCCATGTGCATAAACATTTTGGACAAGAAAATATTTCATAGAGAGCAAATATTTCATCATATAGCGTGGACAAAATGTGAGTGGACAGGTGGTAGAAATGCCAGCTCAAAAGTTCAAACTTACTCTGGAGCTATGTTACTTTTTACAGACCTCATCCAACATGTTAGGCTTGGGAATGTGATATGGCCAGGGCCACCTCTTTAAAGATCTAGCAACTCTAGTGAATGTCCACATTCTTTTTACTATGTAACTCTACAAGGACTTCTTATCATTGTAATAGGATTCCCTTATTTTCACCAGAAATGTGTTCTCCTATGCAAAATAAGCAGTCATTAAATTTATTTTGCATATGGAAATATTCATACTGACCTATATTATAGTTTTTTCAACTATAATGACCAAAGATTTCAGTCACCCACAGTTAAGTCTTCCTGGCTGATTAGCTGTTATAGAGCCATATTCCTGTTTTTAAATTTTCAGTCACAGACCATTACTTGGCTTTAAATATTCCCAATGCTGGAACGCCATACACAAAATACCTGGGCAGATTGGCAGGTGAAGGTAAGCACCAGGATGTGCCAGGGGTCTGGTGAAACATCTGTCCTGGAGTTGTCATGTAACTATCTGGCATGTACAATGCTTCATTACCATCACAACCTGCAGGGGTGGAAAACAAGCTCAGTGATCAGATCCTGAATACAGAGGCCAACATGGTGTTTACAATACCGTGGTACCTCGGGTTAAGAACTTAATTCGTTCTGGAGGTCCGTTCTTAACCTGAAACTGTTCTCCTGCTGCCTCCCGCTGAAACTGGCCTCCCGCTGCCGCCGCTGTGCGATTTCTGTTCTCATCCTGAAGCAAAGTTCTTAACCCGAGGTCCTATTTCTGGGTTAGCGGAGTCTGTAACCTGAAGCGTCTGTAACCTGAAGTGTCTGTAACCCAAGGTACCACTGTATAAGAAACCAGAACTAGGGCCAGCCTTTCTGAAGCAACACCTCGTTCCTCAGGGCTGTTTGAAAGAACACCAGGATGCTGGAAAGGTTACATTAAGTTCTTATATAATTGCTGCTATTATAGTATAAGAAGTGCAATATACCGTATCTTTCATAGCATGTGCTATGATCATGTAGGTTTTATTAATTACATGAAACTAAAATATTAGCCATCAAATCACAGGGTGAGGGTCTGTTGGCTCAGAGTGGGGCCCTGTTTGTATGAGAGACAGAGGGAGATTGAGTGGGCTTCTATATGTGAAACAGGGAGTAGGAACTCTTTCTATGACTATTGGTTATCTAAAACGTTTGACTGTCTTGTGTTTGTTTTTTACCACGGTATTTGGTTTTTGTAGTTTTGCTTTTTTTTCCTTGTGACAAAATTGTTGTTGGGTTTTTTTTTTGTAATTTTTGTATGCTGTTGTTTTTACTTTGTTTAATTTTATTAGCTGTTCCCTGCTCTGTGACTGAAAATGTTCAGTGAAGAGCGGACTACTAAATGCAACAAAATAAATAAATATATTACACCAGATTTATTACTAGAGAAATTGGTCACCCACCTAACATACCTTGAAATTGAAAAGAATGTTCCTGAGGCAAGAATGGGCAGAAGGGTGCAGGGGGCATAGGAAGCGGAGGGGGGAACCAAGCAGTATGAGGTGGTTGATGTCCTCTAAGGGCCCACGGCAGTTCTGTCACTTTAGAGCAGTGAGGGAGAGGCAACCAAGAACATTCCTAGAGAACAATGCACAATGCAAATGCAATGCAAATACAGCTTATAAATATTGCAAACATCATACAAATTATTTCATCAAATAAAAAAAGCAATTTTTAAAAAGTTTCTGCTCAAATCATTAACTGACATGAAATATATTAATTATATTTGGGAAATCCTGATAGCATCATAGGGGACATTCTCTGTGAGGTTATAGCCAGAGAATCAGTCAAGTCTCCTAGATCTTAAAGGAGTGAAGGAAACAAAGGGAGGCATCACAGTCTACACCGAGATTCCAGAGCAGTTTTGCCAGGGAGCACACCTTTCCACTCTCTGGCACTGCCACGCTTGCCAAGCCTACTGTTGCAGGGAGTTCCACAGGCTCAGGTTGGATATATAAGGGGAAGCAGCCCTTACAAAAAAACACACACCCCCCTAAGTGCTAATAGTGACTCCAGTGTTATGCTGGCAAACATATATGAGGCTGGCTACTTTATGTTTAATTTGATGATCTCAAGACATCTACATTTTGAGGCTTCCAGCTTTATTTCATTTCTCATTTCCTGCCCATTTTGCTAACAACTCTATGACAACAAAGCTGAGTTTAGCTTTGGAAAAGGCATATTGTTGCCAGTATAAAGAGAAGACCGGAAATCTCTTTCTGCAAGTGCCAACCACAATCTACTGTTAAAATGACCCCATCAAATAAGAAGACAAGATAAGTGATCTAGTCCCTTTTCCTCACCTTCCTGGCTGCTCTCCGCCTTTGTCTTCGTAGGAGTCCAGGAACCTCTCTGAGTCCATCCTCTGAATCTTTCAAGGGTTCTTCATTCTCTTTCCTGCCTGTACAACAAAAGAGAAGAAGCTTGTGGGTCACTAGCTGTGAACTGGAATGTTGCCTGAATTTTGAAAAAGTCATGTAATGGGAGTTCATTTGGTGTCTGTCATGCTGCACAGCAAAGGGAAGCAGGGCTATTTCACTGACTCTGCTGCAGGTCCGTGCAGAGCTTGTCTGAGACCCGGGGCCTGAGGCTTGTTCTTGACATGATAGGTCCAGCAGGCCCCTGGCAGGGCACCCTGGCCATTTTAGCCTTCCAAGGTCTGGGGCAAGTGTACCCGGCTGCATCCCCCCTCACAGGTCTGCTCTGATGAGAGACTAACAGCTTCAACCCTCCCTGAGCTGTCCCCTAGCAGCACTATTCCATCAGATTATCTGAAGTTGGTTGTTTAAGAACTGAAACTTTAAGAACTGATACCTTCCTGCTTTCCCCTTGTTTGCCACAACATTTAGATTGTAAGCTTGAGGGCAAGGACTGTCTTACAGAAATTGTTAGTACAAGGCTCAAGGAGCCTTTTCAGTGAAAAATAATGGAGTAAAAAATACTTAAAATAAATAAGTGTATTTATTACTTAAAATCTGACAAGCAGCCAATTTACCTCCTATGATATGGTATTTATTTATTTAAGACATTTTTACTCAGTCTTCAGCCAAAAAAGATTCCTAGAGCTGGCTTACAAATGTCAGTAGTGCAACAGTCCCTGCCCACAGTCTTACAACCTAAAAGACATGACAAACAAAAGAAAAAAAGAAATGGGAAGAATTAAAAAAGCAAACACAGACACAGAATGCTTCTCAATACCAGCCTGAAAGGATTTTTTTTCAAGGAGAGAAAGAGCCAAAGGTTGCTGGACTTGCAACAGTCCCTTAGTCCCTGATCCTAAGGACAAAACTACATACACATTTTAACAAACGCCCCACAAACAGTTTTTTTTTTGGGGGGGGAATGCAGTTTCAGGAGGAGAATTTTGGAGCATGAAAAACTGTGGGGAGAACACACTTAACTCTCTCTTCCCACTTGTTAATTTTTGTGTGTACTCCTAATCAGCTTTTCCATCTAACTTCAAAGCAACTGTTTGCAAGGGCTCATGGAGCTGAATTTGCAAAAATCATTCCTTGCCAGCACAAATCCTCATTTATTTCATTGCAGCCATTCACATTAGACATATATTTTCTGTTCCTCTATGTTTGGCAGCCTGTGTTTTTATTGTTATATATGTATTTATACCCTGCCTTTTTCTCTGATGGTGTTCTTTTGTTTTAGAACTCAGAGGCGATTGAGAAAGTCAGTTGCTCCCATATAAATTGATGGGATTGTATATATAATTAATGCTAAATGCTATAATACTAAACACATTTAGGACTGGAAGCAAATTCAGATCAATGAGGAGTACAGTTCAGTCCTTCCCCAGCCACTCAATTCAATGTCCCATGTTTTCCTGTTCTCATAGCAGCTTACCTATGTCTCCCCTGCATGGTTTGATCCCTTTTGGCAGTTTGGCCGGGTGGAGAGAGCTTGATGTGGGGCTGTCCTGAAGTTGCAGCAAACCACTGGTCAGCTTCCTCAGCTCCATCTCCTGCTGCCTGCGCAAGGCCACCTGGGCAGCCATGACCCGGCGTCTCTGCCTGGGAGGAGAAACCATTAAATAAATAAAGAATTAAAGTGGTAGAGTGGGCAGATACAAATCACACACAAGCAAAGAGTTCTTGGCCTTTTCCCTACGATGTAACAAAACCTGCTTTTCTCCCTTTGGAGCAGGGTGGTCCAACACATGGCCTTTGAGGCCTTTTTCGCAGCCCTTGGCAACATTTGATGCCCTCCACTCCTGGGCTAGGCTTTGGGAAGAAGGTGTGAGGGCTCTCTGGCAGGGTCCTAAGGTCCTACCGCCTCCTTCCCAAAGCCTAGTTAGTGGTTCCTCAGCGTTGGGAAGGAAGTGAGAGGGATCTAGAACCCTGCTGGAGCCTAGCACCTCCTTCGCAAAGCATGGCGTCTCACTAGTCGGCTTTGGAAAGGCAGTGCAAAGGTTTGGGGTGGGAGCATCAAGTTTTGGCCTTGCTTTCCTCCTCCCATGTGACAAGGCCATGGCTGTCAACTTTCAGATTTGAAAATAAAGGATCAGCAGCCTCACCTGTCCCAGGGACAGTCTACAGGATATCTAACAATCCGGGAAGCAGCGCTGGAATAAGGGAATTTCCCACCAAAAAAAGGGAAGGTTGACAGCTATGGACAAGGCAGTGTATGTAGCCTGCTGGTTCCATGTTGAAGTACTCTTGCGGCCTACTAGGTATGAAAAGTTGGTCTGCCCTGCTTTGGAGTTTCAGATGCAGATGCACCTTCCTGGTTCTCTAGTCATACCCTCCCAATATTGCCTTTTTCCAGTTTTCTAAGCCATCCATGCACATTTGCATACAGATTCTTCCTCTAGGATACCAAGCAAGGAGCTTCAAGGAGTGTACTTTAAAAAGAAAAACACTGTGCCGTACATCATTGCAAGTATTAATGGGCTTGCCGCGGAGCTAGCAAAGCACAAAGGGGAGAGGTAGTGCTTGCAGCTTAATATGACGAAGGCCTTATTCATAAGGGAACAGTGCCACCTACTGAGACCAGCACTGTGCTACGTTCAACACAAATCCCCACAATGTCTGGGGCCAGCACCCACTTCCATCTTGCTTTCCCACCAGACGTACAGGATCAGGATACATTTTTCACACTGGCACCCCTGGAACTGGCAAGTGTTCTTGTGGCCTTTCAGTGGGACCCGGATGCCATGATTGCGGCAGCGGGCACAGGTTGGAGAGCGTACGATGGCGGGGAGCGCATAATCATCTTGGGTGCTGCTGTCGTCTGTGGTGGAGTCTGAGGGGGAGCACTGCATGTTTGGTGCAGCTGCAGCATCAGGATCTTCATTGTCTCCCATGGTGTGGGAACCTGAAAGGGAGGGGAGAAACATCATGTCTCCTCAAGGGAATGTGAGGCCATTTCCTCGATCCAAACAGAGCCACCCATCCAAAATGTTGACTAGAACCAGCTTTGAAGGATTCCCGATGCGCTCCTTGACCACTTCAAATGTATACCCTCCCGTCTCAGTCTTGCAATATGCCTGAAAAGATACATTTTCTTTGCCTCTAAAATGGCATCTTTCCCATTTTAGATAGTTGCACGCTGCTGGTGGTGGAGCAGGATTACCCAAACAGAGGATAATAAATGGGTGAGGTCAAAGGTGTGATTGCCTGGGCTGGCCTTTGACGTTTTTGCTCCCAGTATGAAAATTGAAAATGACCCTAAGGCAATTGGCTGATTTATTATTATTATTTTTTTAATGACAAGTACATCCCAGTCCATACTTGGAAGTGAGCCTTGCCTTTTTTCTAGGGGATTCACTTTCAAGTAAGTATATTTTGGATTGTGGCCACAGAGATGGAGATTAGAGGTGGGAACATGGCAATCCCTCTGGAATTTGATGCAACCGCTTCATGCGAAGGCCTGCTCTGGTTACTGTCACCTGGACCACCCAAATGACCAACATTTGCTTCTGGAGAAATATGAAATAGACACTTGGAGGAGATTATGCTGCTATAATCTTGACATGACTGAGAGGGACTTATGCCATGGAATTACTACAGAAACATGACATAATTTTAAAACGCTGGGGTGTGTTTGAAGCCAGGTTGCTGTTGGGGAAGTATTAGAAGGGCACTTCATGCACGGTGTCCAAATGAGGTGAAGTTAAGGCACAGCAGTTGTGTGAAAGTCAGGACACTGTGGGTTTACGAGGGAATTGTGTCACTAGATAGCCAAGTTAACTGAGTGTGACCACAGGCAATAGAGGCACCATCTTGTTTTTGACAGGATGGCGGGATCTTTTGGGATGGTTGCTAGTGATGCCCTCACAATGAAGGCGTGTCAATACTATGAAAAAATTGTTGGGTGAGGAGAATGCAGATTTTATTTCCGAAGGCTAATTAAGGTTCTGAGGCAACGTTTTTATAGCATTACCATGTCACTTTGAAACAGATATATATATTGGCTACGGGATACTTTTGTGGAGCGGCGTGCCAAAAAGAAAAGGAGAACTAAAGAGTATTTCAGAACGCTATAAAAGGCAAGCAAGCATTCATGCACATAAAACGGTTCCTAGAGCACTCGCTTTAACTCCGACGTCAAACAACCAATCACAGCATGCCTATCATTCGCTGCTTGGACGGCGAGCCAATGTAAAGTGGCCTTTTATTACTCCCTTAGCCCCCGTGACCAGACAAAAATCATTCGTTCGCCCCCGCGCCTCGCCAGGTTGCTACTTTGAGTGCTTTCTGCTAAACTGTCGCTCTTCGCTCCCAACTGCAAAAAAAGAGAGAGCCAATGAGCGACGAGAGCGTCTCGGGCTCGAGCGGCGTGGGGTAGTAGTTAGGGAAAGTCCGCTCAAACTATTGAGGGGGAGGAAGCTAGCAACAGTTGGGCTGAACCATTGTGGGGGAAATGGGGGGGGGGAGAAGGGGAGAATCACTGTGTTTTAAAAAACAGTGCTGGTGAAAAAAGTTGGCAAAGGGATGCCTTAAAAAGCAGAATAATATGCTCGGGGCAGATCAGTGGAAAATACAGTGCCCACAGAATGCTCTGGTTCCTTCCAAAATTTTGGGTGGTTTGCCCTGAACCAATGAGTAATGAAGAATATACTGTACATGTATAGATAAGATAGAATGAGCAAGAGATCCAAGAAAGGGATCGAGCCCCTCAGCTAAACGACTTGGATGGAATTCCCCTCACCCCTAATTTGGGTGAAAGGCTATTACTGTACAACAAAAATGAAAAACCCAAGGGCAATATTGATGGTTTTTAAAAGTGCATCAGCCACCCAAAGGCCTCCTCCCCCCCGCCCCCAGTGTGATAGGAGTCTGAAGCTATTCCCCATTCCCTGCTTCTTTATGTGAAGCTTTTTGAAACAAAGTTATGAATTTTTATTTTTTGGCTTGTTATCTTATTAAATTAAATGCAGCTTGAATCAGTAGCTGGGATTTGTGCACCTCTGTGCTGCAAAATAAAGGGTATCATCCCAAACTGAATTGTCACTGCATTTATGTTCCATCTTCCCTTCAAAGAGGTCAGCGGGCTATGCATCTTTTTCTCTTCGCCCATTTTACCCTCACAACAATGCTGTGAAGTAAATTACACTGAGATGGCCCAAGGTCACCCAGCGTGCTTCATGGCTGACGGGATTCCGATGTACTCTGCTCTTGTTATTTATTTTATTTACTTATTTACTTTCATCAGGTCTATCAACCATTTCCCCCCCATTGTGATAGAGCTAAAACCAAAATTTAAAATACTGACCAGGATTTCTCCAACATTGTTCTAATCACATTTACAACTTCTTTTTTTGCCTGTCAGTTAGCTACCAAAGTAAACCACCCATTTATATTTATATACAAGACTGCTATGAATATAATATGTGGGGGTGCGGACACTGTCTTGAGATTGACAGATATGAAAGAGGGACATGGAATAAAAATGCAAGCTTGTAAATAAATCCACACAAGTTACTAGCCTGCAATGTTATTAAAATGTAGCACCCTGCTTGTGGTTAACGCTTAGCTGGAATGAAATATTCAACGCAGCAATAGAGAAATTAAAATAATAATTTATTTGTCAGACAAATAAATGAGAGGCACAGTGGTATATGGTTACCAAGCTCTGGCCTGGCTTCCTGCCATTATGGCCAGCACTTATATTCCCTTAATCCAGCACCCTTTGCTCCTCCTGTGGCTGCCTCTGTCCAATCAGCCTGGTTGAAATTCCTATTGGCTGATCGCTATAACCAATCCTAAAAGATACACCCATATCCTCCTGTCCTTATATGGAACACAAAGAGCTATATATTGTTACATCTATAAATGACAAATAAGTAGTAATATATCTTACATGTGTCTCAACAAGGAATCTTAATTACCAGCTCACCTCTTGCCCTCCTTGCCCTATTGCCTTCTAAAACAAATGGTTAATCTTAAATTTTTATCTTAAACATATGTCAAGGATCTTGAGTTCACATCAACATTGAAAGATCTCCTTCATTTGAAGGTTTCTAAACAAATGCCTGACAACTATATATCAGGAGTGCTCGATGGCGTCTCCTGTCTGGCAGGGGGGCTAGGCTGGTGGCTGACTTAATTTCAGGATAAATACAACTCTTACAACTATATGAAATAAGAATCTAGCATTTCTTAAATCCTTTGCATAATTACATTTAAGCCAATATATTTAATACATAACATAGGTAGCCTTTTAAAAGGAATAAGGCCTTTGTAAAGTAAAAAAGGAACTCGGTAAAAAACAGCTTCAAAAGAAGCCTCTTCAGTTTACACCCCCCCTTCAGCCAGCTGCTTTTCCCATTAGCTCTTCCCAACATTTATTGCCCTTCAACTCTCTCAGTTTAAGAAAGAAACAGCTTTAGAAAAGACTTCCCAAAAATGCTCTCTTTCTGCCAGCTAGATGCTTCTCCATTGCTCTTGGCCTTTTTAACCTTAGGAAGAAGATCTGGCTCATTTTACTGGGAGGCACATTGGTATTATTTTACTATTTACTCATTCCTAATTATGTTTATCTCTGCTTTTTTTATCTTCTGTAACATGTAGGGTCAGTGTCCTCGCTCTCAGCCTGTAATTCCCCCTTTTACGACTTTGAGAATTGTTTTCTGCTATAAATCAAGGGGCCCCTTGTCTAGGAGGAAAACATTGCCAAGGTTCTCTAAGCAGCTGGTCTTCTGCCTGGCATGAAACATTTGAAAATCTTTAAGCTCTCTTTAATATACAAGCCCTGATCAAACATTAATAAAATGCAGGCCTGATCAAACATTAATAAAATGCAGGCTTATGATTAGATGCCTCAAAAACAGCCCACTAAGAATTATACATTTCCTTGCTAGCTACAGAGGAGGCGAGTCACAGAAATGCAGGCTGTTAATTCCGATTTCAAGCTATTCCACTGAAAGGGCAATGGGAGCTGCAGAGAGACTTAGGTGCTAGTTGATAATATATTAGTCATACTGTTGCAGGGCAAATCTGCTGTCTCACTGTTGTCTCACCATTACTTACTCGTGAGTCGGGTTGAAGAAAGAGTCCAAAAGTTTATTTACTGCAGTAAATAGGTTCAGCGCTGTCACCTCCACTAAGGCTGAATGGGGGGGTGGGGTGTTACCACTTTTACAGTGGTACCTTGATTCTCAAACTTAATCCGTTCCAAAAGTCTGTTCCAAAACCAAAGCGTTCCAAAACCAAGGTGTGCTTTCCAACAGAAACTAATGCAAAATGGATTAATCCATTCCAGACTTTTAAAAAACAACCCCTAAAACAGCAATTTAACATGAATTTTACTATCTAATGAGACCATTGCTCCATAAAATGAAAGCAATAAACAATGTACTGCAGTCACACAATCAATCAATCAATCAATCAATCAGTAGCTGAACTGGGTTCCACACAGCCAAAAAACAAACAAAAACGCAAAATAAATAGCAAAAACAGACAGACCTCAGTATAACACTCAAAACGGAAGTGTGGACTCAAATTGGAAGCGTGGCACTCGAAATGGAGCATGTTTGGCTTTCAAAAAAAGTTTGCAAGCTGGAACACTTCCAAGTTTGCAGTGTTTGGGTTCCAAGTTGTTTGAGTACCAAGGTGTTTGAGAATCAAGGTACCACTGTATAGGTTTTAGAGATAAAATCCAATCAAACCGCTGCAGACATTTGTAGAGGGTAGCTGGCAGAATACTCATTGGATACAACTTTCTAGATGTCCAGCCTGCAACTTGATGTGTGTCCAGCCCTTCTAGGGCCCCTCGCTTCCAAAATTTTGAAGCCTACATAGATACAATCCTACATACTAAAGAAAGGAGAATTGTAGGCTGAGATTTATGTTCACCTAGATAACAAGCCTACAAAAGGGGAGTTGTCCTTGGTAAGCTGGCACAGCCAGACTCCCATAATTTTACTCTTCAGAAGTTCACTCCCTGAATGCCTTATCTTTGGTATTTCCAGCAACAGGGCTATGTGTCTTTTATGAACAAAAGGAAACTATTATGAACCAAGGATTTTAACAGAACTCCAATATATCATTCAGTTGGGGCTTTTTATAGGTTTCTCACACAAAACATATTTTGGGGGCCGTTGGGGTCCCCCTACAATACCATTGGCCAATGCTACCTCAATTAAGAATAAAGACAGGAATGGGAATTTCTGTGTAAACTAAAGGTTATTTTGATGGGGCCTGATTTCAGCATACCTTTCTGATATGCCTAATGTTGGGGTGGGAATTAATCGCATATAGAAGTTAATTTGTCTCACTGATGGTCTTCTTATATTCGTGGATGCATATGTCAGGAGTGGTCTGATCTGATCAGAGCATCAGTCCCCTCTGTTATCCATCAAAGCAACACCAACAACTTGACAAGGATAAACGTCTGGAGGAATAATCTGCTACTGACAGAATATCACAACACATAATAACAAGGGCTCATTTCCTCATCTTCCAGTTGTCACTTGCCAGCAACGCCCTTCTGCTTTATATAAGTGACAAACAGACCAGTCCCTGATAATAAATCAGTGAAGGGAAACCCTCAGCTCACAGGCCAAATTAGGCCCACCAGGGACCCTAATTTCAGAAATGAGGCCATTTCCCTCGAACCATGTCCGCCTGCTCCACATCTGGCTTTGTATGTGACACCTGGTGTGGGTCAGATAAAGTTGCATCTGCAAAGGGACAATCGGAATAAATAATAAAGTGTGTGACTGATTGCTCTTTGATTAGCAAGGTTGACATGGCTGGGGAGGAGGGCGCTTGCAATAGCTTGGCTGAACCACTGTGAAAAATAGATGCAGAATGATAAATAGAAGGAAAGGGAAGAAATCACTGTGTTAAAAGTAGAGTAGGGAGAAAATGATGGGGAGAGGATTCCTTTAAAAGTGGAGTAAAGAATGAAGTATAAATGCTATTTTT